TCCCTTCCCCTCTCTCTCCTGCCCCCCCCCGCCCCCCAGTCTTTGGACATTCCAGAGAGTGGTCAGCCTCTCACCTCCTTTTGCTCTAAGACCTATTCCAGGGCAGGCACACAGTTTGGCTGTTGAACCCCATTGGATTAATGGAATTTAGATGCCAGACGGGACTCTGGATGTCACTAAAGCCTACCTCCCTTTAAAGTTGGACATTGGGCCCAGACTGGCCAGGAATGAAACTTGGGTTTGAGGAAGGCCAGTGGCCTTTAGGCGAGCACTCCCTGGACAGCTCAAGTCCATTGGCATCTCAACCCTTCTCTGCCCACAGGCCCTGTACTGCAGCTGCTTTGTCCCTGTGTACTGCGGCCTTATTCCCCCCACCTACCGCGGTGAGGTGAGTGCACCTGAGTGGTCACAGGAGGGCGGGGATCCAGGAGACCCACATCGGGGAGAGGTGTGTGTGTGTGTGTGTGTGTGTGTGTGTGTGTGTGTGTGTCTCCGAAGGCAGTGGGAGGACCAAACGTTGGAACTTTTCTTCCGTTATTCCACGGATCTCTGGGAACTTTGGTGGCTCCGTGTTCGGATTTCTATCTTCCATAGGGGACCCCGGGATCCATTTCCAGGCCAGTGCTGCTCACCCACAGCCTGTCTGTCCATGGAGGCTCGTGTACTACTGTGATGCTGAACACGTTTCCGGAGAGCGTCCAGACTATGAGAGAGTAGGAAGAAAGACCTGAGGCTCTCCTTCCCAAAGTCAGCCAATGAAAGCTGTGGGTTATCATGAGTTTGGTGATGAACTCTATGAAGGGATGGTGCAGGACTGGCAGCGTCTTGACCTGCGGTGGTGACGATGAGGCCGGGGTGACATAATGAACACTGACAAACCAGGAGGCGGTGACAATGGGCTCAGGCACAGGACCGTTGTGAGGACGGCGCAGGACCGGGCCCTGTTAGGTTCAGTTGTGCAGAGGGTCCCTATGGGTTGGAGGCAACTCCACGGCTCCTCACGACAGCCAGATGAACTCCTCAGGCTGGCTTGAGTTTCCCTCTGGACCCACCAGCCCACGTTCATTTCTGTTTTCCTTCTTAATCTGTGTGGAGTTTGCTGTCAGCTCAAGGCATGACCTTGG